GTTCTTTCGACTATTTCGCTTACTCAGTGGCAAGGCATAAATTTAATTCCCTAAACCGCCAATACAATTGCAAATACCTTCAGTTTGTTAAACTCTCCTTATTTGCTAAATACTTTTTTAAGTTCGTTAATTCCAAAAGAAAAATCTCCATAAATCCCTCGCATGTGTCTTTTAATGGCTCCGAGTCCTCGGATGATTTTGAAACCTCAAATCTCTTTACGGAATACTTCCGACAGAACTTTTCAACTGCTAATTTTGATTTATCAGCAAACTATCCATATCCGATTTCTAATTTGATTTCAATTCCTAACTTTGTTATATCTGAAAATGACGTTTTTAAAAGATTGAGCTCTCTAATATATAATTGTTCGCCTGGACCTGATGGAATCCCCTCATGTATACTTATATCTTGTGCTGGCGAGCTATGTAGTGTGATCTCAAAGATTTTTAACCTGTCCTTGAATTTAGGTATTGTCCCTTTGTATTGGAAGACTTGTTTCCTTATTCCTATTCACAAAAGTGGTAGTAGGCAACTTGTATAGAACTACAGAGGTATTGCCAAATTGAGTGTCTTGCCTAAACTGTTCGAGCGAATTGTGGCTCAGCCTTTTCCATTAAATTTTATATTTCTCCTCTCCAACATGGTTTTCGAAAGGGAAGATCTACTGTCACCAATCTGTTAGAGTTTACTTCTCATGTTTTCAAGGCTTTTTCTAGTGGCTCTCACATGTCATTTACACTGACTTTACCAAAGCGTTGGATTTAGTTAACCATAGGCTAGTTATCTTTAAACTTCAAGCCTCTGGCTTACCGTTCTTCTTAGTGGAATGGTTAAGCTCTTATCTTCATGGTAGCTCATTCAGGATTTTGTTTAACCTCATTACCTCGGATGAATTCCCCATGACGTCTGGCGTACCTCAAGGTAGCCACTTAGGACCCATTTTATTTAATTTATACATCAATGATTTGCCCTCCGTGATTAAATTCAGAAAAATCTTAATGTATGCTGATGATGTGAAATTGTTTTCTTGTTTAACGTACTATTTAAAGTCCATTAAAGCAGCATTGCTTAATACGCGCGATTTACATATGTCGTACTTAAACTAACTCTTAACCTTAAAAATTCACGATGTGTCGAAAATTAATTGTTGTTAACTATTATCGGTTCCCAAGCTTATGCACGTTTGCGATGGCTTAGGGGTTCACTTGCAATTTGGTCCTGTGACGGTTATGAGTGTGGCTCTATGCTAGTTGTGTACATGCTTTTTTTCTTTTTTTTTTCATTTTTTCCTTCTTATTTGTTTCATTGCACTTATACTAAGTTTTAATATTAATTAATTTAAGATTTACTTTAAGAGTCAATTGAACTCGACGGCCAATTTGTTTTAGTTGAGTCTCTTGTATAAGTGTAATAAATAAATAAATAATAGGTGGGTCTGTATTAAGCCCTTATGTGTGTTACATAGGACCGTGCCAACTTAATATACCACACACGTGTACCACAAGTGCTGTAGGGTATAATCACAATTCAAAGTTACGAACATATTTCAAAAGGAGCTGAAAAAATAACGTAAATCACGAAAGACAGGTTTACGTTGCAATCTACTCATTTGCGGAATGTACGAAATAGTTTTAAGCATTCTGTCTTCTTTACCTTATGATTAATAAGCCTAAAACTTAAAAAAAGTGGAAAAAGAGAATTTATGCACTTCTAAGGTCGTATGGGTACGGCCAATATTTAGCCTTTATACATATAAATAGCAGTTTTGCGTGAAGTATATGTAGAAAATATCAGTCTTCTATCTTCCATAAGTTGTAAGTAACGAGAATCAACCCACAACTTTTTGTTTGGAAAACGGATTCTGCTCTACCCTATTTTGACCGTTTTCTAACTTCTAAATAACGCAAGTAGTATTTATATGGTATAGTTAAGATTTAGCAATAATTTATTTGAAATAACTTTGCAACTTTGTTTATATGTATTCTTTCTATATTTAAACAACTGTGATATGTAGATCTATTCCTTTTTACAACATTGAAAAAAATAAAATGTGTAACCAAAAAGTGTATGTATATGACAGAATTTAAATTTAATTTAATTTTAATTTTAATTTTAAATGCAGTAGTAATTTTTACCAAGTTTAGTTGGCTACATATCAGTAAGCATTGAAATAAACCTTAAATTTCAAGAAATTGGACTCGGAACTTCTCGGAACCTTTATGCGCGGCTATTTGAATTAGTAAGTAATTGAAAATATCACGGTGAGTAACAATGCTTATTTCCGTTTAGATCGATGGATAGTAAATTGAGTAGTCTGTTATAATTAAGAACAGATGCAGATTGCAAATTCATCGAAGAGAGACATGTTCCAATTTCAGTTCGATGATAAATAGGGCTCTACCATTTATTCGAAACTAAATACTTAAGCAACGTTGCAAATCTTTCTGTTATTAAACTAAGTTTATTTTTCTCCACTTTTGGAATTGATTTTTCCGAGTAGTCTCCATTTAATTAAACATAGTTATCTTTTTTTTAACAGTTTTTATAACATGCTTTAAAAACGCAGCAGAAATCATTTTAAATCTTTCAAGTGGCCTCTTTGTCGTTATCGCCGTCAGTGTAACTCGTCTTTGATCCTCGAGAGTAGAAGGAAGTTACAAGCAGCCAAATATGGATGGAAGAATAACAAAAATACCAATTTTATGCCTTGCAAAATATCGTTTGCTACAAGTGCTGCATGTGCGTTATCACAGCACAGATGTAATATCGCTCGTGGTCATTTTTGATCCAGTCCTTTTATGAATATAGCATACGGAAATAACAATCTCAGAATGTCGACGACGTACCTCTGCCTTTAAATATAATGGGACAAAAATCTCACAATCCGGAACTGTTTCTATACAGCGAGTGCATTCGGCGATTACATTGCTATCGAGACATGTGCCTAATTCATCCAAAGAGGAGAAGGTCTACCGCAGACATTACCTTCCGACAGACATGTTAAAATCAATTCAGAATTTAATGCTACTCCAGAATGTATACATTATATGCGTTTTAAATATGGAAAAGTTAAATATAAAAAAAAAGCTAAGTTACTCGTATGCAACAAGTAAAAATCTTATAGTCGGACAGAGCCGACCATTAAATATCGCACATCACTTCGTCTAATAAAGTCATTTACATTCATTTACATTTACAATACAATAAAAATTATATTACTTCCATAAGCCATATTTCCGTAAGACATACTTTCAATGATAGTCCTCGTATTGTAGAGTGGGCAAAATTATCACGTTTTTCACTGTCAATATTTTCATTATAAAATATTAAGAATGAACCTTTCTCATCAAAGGTCGAACTATTCTTAAGAACTGTTAAGAAATAAAAAGACGATAGTAGACCAAGGCGCGCTATTAAATACGCTATACCAATTTGCAGTTATGCAGTTTTGCCCATGGACCAAAACACGTCCAAATGTACCAAGTTTCGTCAGAATTTCTCAAAGATTGCGACTTGTACGTTAAAGATATCAGCCAGAATGATTTTCTTAAGTTGCCTTTAAAAAAAAGGAGTCGATGTCAAGTGCTTCTGGATGTTGCATGCATATTCGCAAACTTATATACCTTCTACTACAGGAAGTGTAAAAAAAGTTGCGGTGGAAATATAGCTTCTCACAAAGTATTTTCCTCTGTCTGACTTTGGATTACATTAAAAAATATTTTTACATAAAATTTCTCTCTGCTTACAAGTTGTGCTTCACATGCCTAATAATAATTTTTAGTTTAATTCACTTTGTTTACCAAAAATTATTTATAGGACGTTCTTTTTCAGTATTTAGTTTTTCTTTCAAACTGCTCTCTTCGAACATCATGGTTCATCTAATTCACCTGAGACATACATCTTGCTTCTGAAAGTAGGAAACGAATGCCATATTGTGATCTGTTGTCTTCGTTAATCCTCTTACTTCGGGATTTCCCAGTAGAATTTGGATAGTCATTTAACATGGTGGACTTTATCCATTAATAGTGTATGTGTATTAATTATTTCGTTAATTGCCAACAGCACAAGGTGCATGTAATACAGGAAGGCAAAGCATTGAAAATCATTATTTGCGTTTATTGCTTCCCTAACTAGCAGCCTGTAGCATTCTTTCTACCAGCACCAACTACCGCTTACGTGTGAACTTCTTAAACTACGAAATGTTCGTTATGAATATTCATTTTCGATAATAAGATGTAGCCAGAGTTCAGTACGCTCTTGTTTATAAAAATAACGATTTGATTATAACCATGACGGACTAGGACGTTTTGCTTAAACTTTGAAATATTCGTTATTGATATTCATTTTCGATAATAATATATAACCAGAGTTTAGTACGCTTTCATTTGTAAAAATATGTATTTGACCCAATCATAACCGTGAGGGACCCGGATATTTTCGTTAGCTTTCTCTTTCTCAGGGATATGCTCATCATTATCTTCTTTGCACAGTTGAGGGCTTAGTGTTTTGTATATTTAGTTCTGCAAATATAAAGCTTCACCAATTTTGCATTCCTAACATAGTATTTACAATAGTTGCCTACATGTGGCATAGTAGAATTCGTGCCTACTTTGCTGTTATTGCCATTCCACTTTCACTTGGTAGCCGATGACAGCGGTGACTGGAATTCAACGAAAAGACGGCCTGTCTTGCGGTAGTAATAGCTCATGTGCATGGCTAAAGCCCACTTTTGTTTGTTTTCAAGCTGCATTTGGACTGGATCGCACGCCAAATTGGAGTGCATCTTGAATGTATGGAAGCTAGACATACCATCAAATATTAGCGTCTTCAATTTAAGTGAGCTGACTATACTCTTATTTTCTAGATTAACCGTGCCTTATAATGGCAAAAGTTCTACTTTGAGCAGTGTAAATGAACAAAATTGATATCGTGCTATTGTGTTGGGTATATATTGGAAAAATTAATAAGATCGTAGCGAAGAGATGTGATTAGTGCTTACCTTCATAAAACATGAACATCATTTCTGTTTGAAGACATACTGAATACCGCATATCCAGATTAAGTCTGCAGTCGCTTTGGATATGACTCATCATCATTACATACATATGCGGAAGATATTAATTTTTCGTTATTTTTCGTTTTTCTTTATTTTTGTTTCGTATAATTTTATATAATTTTTTTGTTTCACTTTTTTTATCACTTTTTATAACAGACTTTTATTTATTTTTTTATACATTTATTTTTTTTTATAATAAGACCGAATACATTTTTAAATCAATAACAAAAACATAATTTGAGCAAGGCACACAATTCGGTCGATAGGTCAAACTGCATCATCAGCTAGACATGCAGAAATATAACGTTTTGCAGACAAATTTCGTGAAAATTTGAATCTAACAGGAAAATGAAGATAATCCTGTAAATTTCAAACCTGTGCAGAAAATGGCACTAAACAAGTGATTTTAAACACATAACAGTGCCAGCAACTTGATAATATTTTCGTCTTGACTATAACGTCTTCTGCCATAAATTACGCATAATTCTTATTGACAAACATTCTTTGTACACGTCTGAAAATTAAGGGAAACTCGTTACACAATATATAAGAAGATACTATGCACGACAATATAAACTAAAGTCTATAATTCATAAACATTGATTCATCTGTACATACAAACTGAATAATGCAGCACGTGAAAAATGCCGAATGTAATATCGATTACAAAAATATATAGAAGAGAAACGAACTGCGGCATTTTTTCTTGCTCTTGATATAAAACAAATGAGTAAAAGTATGATGTGACGCATCAGTCGCCACTCAAATGCTCCTAAACTCGTCAGGCGACAAAAAGAAAGATATCGCTGCATACAATATCTGATTGTAGAAATAATTAGCAGCGGTCGATATCTTTTATTACAATCATTTTTTTTAAAAAAGCAAAATAAAAGCCCAAAAACGGAAATCAATTTTTTCAGGACAAACGAGATGGGGATAACGCAAAAAGAGAAGAAAGTATATTTTTCTAAAAAAGCAAAATCATATCAACCTTGTACATTTCGACAAAAACCGCAAAATTAAAATTTTTTTGTCTTGCATAACTTTTCCTTAATCGAAATATTTGTAGAATAATCCCTGCAAGGTAAAGTTGACGTTGCGTAATGTAATTTCTTTATTTTTCCAAATTCCTAAATTAAGAGGGTTTTGTCATAAAAGCATTTACAAAGTTTATTCTTCTCTTGGAATGGAAGTTTAAGTAAATTTGATTTCTACACCATAAAACTTGCAAGTTTTCCAATATACGCATTCCGTCTTAACTCTTATAACTCACTCTTATAACTCTCTAGTCACACATTGCGTGGTTATTTTTTATGTAATAGTAATAGGTTGTACGGACAAATAGATGAATTTTGTCTGAGTACAAAAACTCTCACTGTAGGTCAGAAAATGGTAGAAGCTAGCATCAATTTAAAAAAGAGGAAAATATGAATTGCATTCATAGAAGAAACAAAGGAATCTAATGAATTTGTAACGGGTGGGGAAACGTTAAGGCTTGAAAAGCGACGTTTCCTTCATAAATTAACGTCGCAAAGCAGATAACAATCTCAGATCTTTTAACGAATTCGAGTTGATAACGTCAGTTCTTACGTCGAAAAATCTTATTTCCATGCTCTATTTGCTTCTTAGAAGGAAAGCCATATTCACATTTTCCATAGTGTATATGAAGGAGCTTGGCACATAGATTTCAATGCATTAAAATTGAACACTATTAGTCTGGTTAACAGTTAAACCCCAAAAAATAGCAGAAGTTTTAGTACATATTCATTTAAAGTGAGGAATCTGCAATTAATAGATATACGATTATCTTGATCTTGAGGACATAGTTAGTACCGATTACCTACTTTAATGAGAATCATTAGTCAACATGTTATTTTCATATATACGATACTATATCAATAACTATTTAATATGCTTTGTTTAAGCTTATGCATTCATGAATCCTCTTTCTTAAACGCAAATCATAGAAATCACTGTTTAAAAGTATCATAGTTCATACTGCGACAGTCAAATAAAGGTTAAAAGTAACTATGCTTTTTTTTACATTTACGTTATATATTTATATAATCGGACACAAATAGTAAAAGTATATAACATTTACGTAATTTGATAAAAAGTGAAAACTATTTAAAATGAACGTACTCATTACGCTTTATTTTATTTTTCTTTTAGTATTTTAGGAATGTTTCAAATTTTGGTTTCACAAAATACAATTGAAAATAGTTTTTAATCACCGTTGTTCCAAGTTTTTTTATAATTTATTTGAACAAGTAAAGAAACAAAGTCAAGCATCACTTTTTTGCTTTTTCTCTTTATAAGAAGCGTCGGTCGTCGCGTTCTTTAATTATTAATTTGATTAGAGGCACAAATGCATGCAAAGAGAAATCCGAAACCGTCAACCTAAAAAAAAAACGAATGAAATTAAGTTGCGAATCCAACCGTATGCCATGCCAAACTGAAGTTCTGACAAGAAATGCACTCACATCTCTTCGTGCGAAAACCAATTTGAAGTAAATAATACCCAACCATCGTATAAAGACAAGTTCTGAAAACAGAAACCGACATAAAAAAATGTTTTTGCTACCTCAATCGATAAGGCGGGCAAATAGCCAACGAATATTCACTATATACAAGCAAAAAAGAATCGTAAAAAATACTTCAACACGTTAACATCATACACAGACGAAAACTTCATCATTAGGAAATTGACACGAACGCGTTTGGCAATGTAGATATACAAGTAACCAACCTAGGCCAGCTGGTTATTTTTGTTGGTTTGAACGAGTTGAGTATGAAGGAACATTTGTTCCTGTATTCACTGCCAACCACACATATGCGTATGCTTGGTTAACATATGCTCGTATATAAAAATATTTATTTATATACTGAAATGTGGCATATACACAGTAGGGTCTTATTTTGTACGTTTATAACCTGTATCATAAACCATTATTGATAATATACAATATGTGCAACGAGAGCAAGCTTTTTCGATGCGAAAAAGCATGCGAACATCTGCAAAATTTCAGCAACAAATTTCCGAAGTGTGGGAACAGCAAGTGTAGTAAAATGGAATGAGGTATTATCTGGTACTAATGAAAATAATATAAAACGGACGAAAGTTTCAGCAGACGGGTTAAGAATTTAGATTGATAACGCAAATTAAATGAAATTTTCTTTGATTAATTATTTAATCTATGAAAAATTTGATCGATTTTGATTTCCTATATACTTGTAGTTAGCAAAATATGTCTAGTTGGCGAAAATTGCTAAAGATGCCCGATACCACGTTTTTTTAATAGCAAAAGAAGCAAAAAATGACGAGAAAACACATGTAACAAAATAGTAAATATTAACGAAGCCATTAATTTTTTGGTTGTAAGTTGCGTATTCAGTAGGTAACAAGAATTTGGAAATTTGCAGAATTTTTGTTCTTTCTCTTTTCTTGAACTCTAACTGCTATGAAAATAGATTATATATGCCAAACCAATATATTTTCCATATATTATAACATATTGCTATGAGTTGCTCTTTTTCAACAGCAGGCACTTTAGCCTTCCTATGTTTTTCTGGTAAACATCGACTCTGAAACGGAACAGTTAAACGTAATGCTTTCATGCATTTACGTCACGAACATCGGCTCAAATGACACTACGGCTTTGCAAGAAAGTTGTAGAAAATCGGATGCTGAAGAAAACATATAATTTGTGTTACATACAGTGAAAGGAAAAACTTTAAAATAACATTTTGCATGTTAGATTGAATCCAGAAATTATCATTAACTAGCATTATGGAATATATTAGCATCCTTGCACAATTTTCTTTGTCAACATACGTGTAAGAACTTCCAGTGTTCCTATCATGCATATTCGGATATAGTTTTTTGGCGACCCGCCAAAAGTTATCTATGAGTTTAGTGCCAAATCGGGATCATGGTCATGTCACTGAATGTGTTGCGAAATACTCGAAAAAAAAATGGCCTGAGCGGGTTCGCCCAACAAAATGACGGTAGATATAGCTAGTTTCTAGCTTTCCGTCAATGCTTAAGAAAGTTGTCACGGTCTTAGCTATATCGGCAGAGCATTTATATTTTCCTGACAAAGAAAAAGATGAATAG